TCTCTTGCTCGATGTTATCATTGACTTCCTGTATAAGGTCTTCAAATGGCATGTCGTGGCAGATCTAAATTCTTAAAAAAACGATAAGAAAGAAGATTTTTAATTCCCACGATTAACATATATTTTCACTCAGCTTTATACCAATCTTTAAGAATTCTTTTATAAACAGAGCTGAACGGTATGAATGTGTGAGAGGACGTTTTGAAAAATACGAGGAGGCGAATCCCTTGCTCGGTTGGTGAGAACATGTATGGAATAACTTAACTGAAAACAAATTTCACGTTAAACACTTTGCGACTGGCAGGTGCAACACTGGGATTTATATTGGATTCTATTAACGTCAGTGTTGTTTTTCTTTATGATACTTTATGATACTTTTATTTTGGAGAGCAACAGCAGTGATCGGTTGAATCTAAAATCATCAATAAGAGTTAAATTAACAAATTTTGATAAACTACAAACAAAAAATGAATACACACAAGGCGGAAAGGAAAAAAATTTATTACATTGATAACACCAAAAATATAACTGTAAAATCGACTTCTGAAACAGAGAACTGCACCAAGCGCGACTATAGGTTAAACTGGCTTGAGAAGTGATTATGCGTAAAAGAATCTGGCTTTAAATACAAGAGGGCTGCGAAATAACGCGAGTTATGAGAAAAACGTGCGAAGAGGTGTAACTAACGAAGAAAACCGCTGACAAACTTAACAAAAAACACTAACGAGGAGGTATGAAAAAAAAATAAAAAACAAAACAAAGAAATACGAATAACACGAAAATAATTAGCAAGCGCTTAGATCTTGCATAACCTTTAACAGGAAGCTGTTTAGGTAGAAAATAGCGATCATCGCCCCAGGTTTTCGATGCAGAGAGGTGCACCATTTTTTCTCACTGGGTAAAAAACATTTCTTTTGTTCGTGTCTGCTCTGTCACCCCAGAGCCGTATTTGCAGACAGAATTCTTTTTTCAATTCTACAGAAGAGCTGAAGGAGTATTCTATTAGTGATAATAACTAAACTGACAGAGCGAAGAGGAACCTGGAAAAAGAAGTCTCGAATTAGTTAGATCTTTACTGAAACTTAACTGACAGATCAATAAAAAGCGGTTTTTTTTTATAGACCTTCCTGCTCCCAAGGGAAAGAATAAACATATTAAGGTTTCTAGGAGCATTTAACCATACGGGGTCCGTTGGAACCGGCTTTGGGGCATCTCGTGGTTTATATGATAAGGAACTGCATTCTGTGTCTGTGGTTTCTGTGGTCTCAAGATCTCGTTTGTGATTTGTTACAAGACAAGCAACATTCCAGGAATATATCAGGTGTTTACAGTTTTGTAGTAAGTTTGACTATAATTCAATGTTTTAGGGAGAATGCTATCTGACGTAAAATATGCAAGAAAGGACAAACGGTTGTCTAAAGTTTGGAAGCCTTGGGCTTCGAAAAACGCGGGCTATGAAAGTATGAACCAGAGACCCCAAATAAAATTCTCTGGGACTTTTACCCGACAATTCGCGATACGAGAGACGAGGAAGATTTACGTGCGTGATAGCTTTCGCTTAATGGTTACTGCTGTCGACCGATACCTAAAAGGGAAACAAAAACGCTCGATTACTCGTAACAGAGCTAGAGTTTAAGAGCTTGAAGGAGGTTCATGAGGGAAAAGCCCGACTTCAAGGCAAAGGCAAGCGGCAGAACTAGTGAGCTATGACGCGAAGTAAAAACAACCAGAGAAGAAAACAGTCGCGTTTTCGCTTGAAAATTATTAACTAGCAATCGTATGATTTTTCTCGTGCAGTTTGGGATCGTAAATTTTTCAGAGTACAAATCAAACTCGCCTTATCGGCGTAGAAACTTGCCCCCTTTACACAGAGTTTAGACAGAGCGACGTAGTGCGATCGAACGATGATATTACAGATATTATTCGTTGGCGAGTTCAGTTGTTATGGCTCAAGTTTGCTTTTACAATCATATGATTTTCCTCGTGCGGTTTGGGATCGTAAATTTTTTAGATTACAAATTGCACTTTGGCTACAGGCTCGTGCAATTTGGTTCGCCTTTGAATAATTTACTCGTGTTGATTTATCTCAACTTGTACTCGACATTATGTGATTACCTATTCAACCAACCGCTTTAGAATCTCTTCACGGTGAGCAATTCACCTTATCAACTCAGCTGGTAAAATTAATCACAATCACTAATTATCTAAAAGCAATACTCCAAAGGACACAGCACCATAGTTTCTTTAGAAACTTGTCCCTTTTACCCACAGTTTAGACAGAGACTTAGCGCGATTGAACAACGATAGTTCAGATATAATTCGTTGGCGAGTTCATTAATATAAATAGACTCTTCCAGCTGTTATGGCTCAAGTTTGCTTTCACTTCACAACTTTCCAAACATCTGTCTCCTGAGAAAATAACGGCCAGAATTCTAAATCCTCCGCTGTTCATATTAAGAGGAACTCTAATCGGAGTACATAGTTTGGGTCTCGTTATAAAATCTTAGCTCTAGCATCATATTCCATTCAAATATTTGCGATTGCTTTTGTTAGCAGCGCAGGTGGATTGCTTCGTCCTGTATCGATCACGGTTGGTTGACCAAACATTTTAACATTTGTTCAAGCAGTTTTCGTTTCCTTCTTCGAGCTAAGCGTTTACAAGTGTTCTTTATCTGACCAGTGGAAGCATTTGTTTAAAGCCAAGTTATAGCGAGAGTAAAAAATAAAAGACATGAAAAGAGATTGGAAGCTACCACGAAGAGCTTCCACGACTGAATCGCTTGTGTCCCTGCTTATTAACCCCGTTCAAACACGTAAATCAGCCAAATACGGTCGAATGCAACATTCGAAACTGAAACTGTTCCGGCTGATGAGGGGTAGGGAAAAGTGTTACTCACCAAGACATTTAGAATGTAGGAAGAAAAGCTAAGAGATATTGAAAGGCGTTATACTTACGGACTGTTCACTTCACGTCAACCAGTTAAATCAGAAGCAAATGATGCTATGACAGGAATCGCTTCACAAGTAGCTATAAAAAAAATGGAAAATAATTGACCAACAAGGGAAAGCAAAAGGGCCTGTCAAAACAGCATGTAGGCGTGGAAAGCAACGTCAACAGACAACAGAGAGCTGGGTGTATGTCACGCTACTGTGTCGTTATCTCCCTCACAAATTAAGCTAAAAGTTCAGCGCTTTTCGCGGCTCAATTACCGCGCTTCTTTCGATGTCATATAGACACCAGCATTCAGTTTCTCAGGGTTCAAGGCGGATAAACAGCCTAACAGTTCACTTTTCTGCTTTAGTATCTATTTGCCCCTTTACCCAAAGAGTGACTA